ATATTGATTTCTTAATTTTGGGTTGGAAAAGTGGGGGTTGTCTTGTACATGGGGCGTCTTATTGTCGGAAAAATACGGTAAGTTGTTGTTATGTAATTAGTCTGAGTTGTTTAGGGCTTTGTATACTAATACCATCACCATGAATTTGGCCCAGTCATTGACTGGCAGCCAGTGTATCACCAAGTACATTACAGTAATCTGGGCCTGACTTGAGGAAAAACAAGTTCAGAGATCAAGGAGAACATTCCAGTAACAAGCAGTTTGGAAGAGGATGGAGAAAAGAAAGAGTACACAGTGCAGCCCAGGCTTTGATCTAATTCATGCTGGCTGGGGAATTCTGGGAGTTGAAGTCCACAAAGCTTAAGGTTGCCAAGATTGAGAAACACTAATCTAATTAAATGACAGGTGGGTACATGGCCACGGCATGATTTCCAAAGTCTCTGCAACCAATCTATTCAGGACTTAGGTAAGAGGCCATACTGTCCCTTCCTGCATCAGAAAGAGAGAGTCAAAGGACACGTTGCCCATTCCTAGGTTATTTCTAAACACACTGGGTGCTGAAATGACCCAACCACGGCATATGACTTGCTTTTTTTTTTTTAAGTTACTTAATGGAAATGATAAATGTTTAACAAGGTCCCCTTCAGCCATGGTAGCTCACTGAGTACCAACCCTTCAAGGTAGGCCAGGTCAGGAAACAACTCCACAAGAAATACTACCTTACTGAAATAAGTTCTAGTAACAAAATCTGGAAAGCCTGACAGCATTTCCCCTGTCTTCCTTCCCTCTTATACCAAAGAAAGTTAAGGTGAAGTCAGTTTAAGTTTCTTTCTAATGTTCCCTTCCTTCCCAATCTTAGATTGTTTTGATAGCTATTGTATTCCTTCTCCAAGGTCCTCTCTGTGGTTCTCCACACCAAGTGTCTTTGAGCAAGTCATTCTCTCTCAGCCCAACCTACCTTCTTATGGGGGAGAAACAGACCATGTACTATGCTTCGATATAAGTGTATATCAAATAAAAATAATAAAAACCAATATTATTAATGTTGGTACAGGCATCTTCAAGTCTATTACTCCATCAAAGATTATTTGATGGATGAAGCTAAATTTTATATTTAATAATTCAGAATCCAACTGAAGTGTACATTTGTAGAAGCAATACTGACATCTAGTGAGTAATCTTTAAAACATTACCCAAGTATTGAAGGAATTATATCACAGTTAAAAGGCTTGAAATTTAGTGAGGATCTGGGAAGAATTTTTTTTATTCCAGCAGGAAACACACTGTGCCAACATTTTTACTGTTATTCTCATATAGACTTTTTTTTTAAAATTAAATTTGTTTGCCATCTGACTCCTGTCAACCCTGGGCAGCTCACAAGTAAAAACATTAAAAAAAAAAGATATAATCAGACACAGAAATAAGGAATAAAAGACAGAATAATAACAGAAACTGGAATAGAATGGAAAAAAGAATCCATTCCCCCTCACTAAAGGAGTGGACAAAGAGCTAGGTCGTCAAGGTCCTTTGAAACCCCAACAGGGTAGGAGCCATCCAGATCTTGGGGGGAACCTTATTTCAGAGGGCAGGTGCTGCTATAGAGAAGGTGTGTTTCTGGGGTCCCAATAGATGACATTATTTAATTGAAGGAACCCAAAGTGCACCAACCCTGCTAGATAGAATCAGTGAAGCTGTGCAAAGGCCTTCCTGGTCACTGCTGCCACCTGCTCATCAAGCAGAAGCTGTGAGTCCAGGAAGATCCCCATATTGTTTACCAACCCTGAATGTGGAAGTGCCGCCCCATCCAAGGTCAAAGATGGAATATCCCCAGATCTGGATAGCCCAAACCCCCACAGCTAGTCAGTCTTGGTAGGATTGAGTCAGTGATGGTTCCTTCCCATCCAAACCTATGTAGCCTCCAGGCACTGGGACAGAACCTCAACAGCCTCACTAGGCCTAAGGTTGAAAGATATAATTGTGTACTATCAGCATACTGATAATTAGAAAGCACACTAGAAGTTAATTTTAAAGTTTGCAAAAGCAGACTTTCCCCTTGAGTTTTTAATGCATTTGCAATCAGGTCCTTCAAATCTTCCAATGGTGCACTCATAGCTAATGTCACTGAGTCCATCCACCTTGCTGCTGGTTGTCCTCTTCTTCTCTTTCCTTCTACCTCTCCCAGCATTAGAACCTTTTCCAGAGGGCTACAGTAGGTCCTCACATAAAGTCTCGAAAGTAGGATAATTTGAGCCTGGTTATTTGTGCCTTGAGTGAGAATTCTGAGTTGATTTGTTCGATGATCCATTTGTTTGTTTTCTTGGCTGTCCATGTCTCAGGAATCTTCTCTAACACCAAATCTCAAACTCTTTGTATTCTGCTTCTTCAAAGTCCAACTTTCACTTCAATAGAGCGTCACAGGGAATACCATTGTCTGCACTATTCTGATCTTTGTAGGTATAGAGTCATCATGACATCTGGGTATCTTTTCCAAGGCGTTTATGGCTATTCTCTCAGGTGCTAGTCTGCAGCATATTTCTTGACTGCTTGTTATTTTACTATTGATGGTTAATCCTAAAAGGCAGAGGCTATCCACCACTTCAATATCTTCGTCAGTTCTAAGGCTGGTTGTTGTATCTCTGGTCTTCTTTATATTAATTTTTGGGGGACATATTAGTTTTAATTTTCTTAAGTCCCATTGTCTGCATGGGATAGTGTATTATCCCATGCAGACAATGGGATTAATTAGACTGGGTCCAAAGTATTTATTAATTCAGAAGACAGACTTGGTACCCTTGAGAAGGTTGCAGCAACCACCTAGGAAACACTGAATAGTGGAATGTGTGTTTTGCATGTAGGTCCCAGGTTAAATCCAGGCAGCTTCAAAAAATGATGAGGTACCAAGTGATAAATAAGATTCTAGAGACCCACCACCAATCTGAGTAGATCAGCCTTCCCTAACTTAGAATCCTTTAGATGTACAGCCACAACTTCCATCATCCCCAACAAGTAGTGGAATGACAGTCCAAGACTAAAACTGAGTTTAGGTGATGTTAGATTGCTACTTCCACTATCAATGCTCCCTTTGCCATAAAAATCTAGATAGGTAAAGAAAAAGGCATAAATGTATAAGTTTGCTTCTGTTCTTATAGACAGAATATTGTAATCCACTTATGTATATTTTGTCCCTTCTCTTCTATTTCATTTATAGAAGCTAAGCCACTTTTATGATGGCTCAGTTAAAACAAACACACAAAACCTAAAATCACATCCGCATTGGGATTTGCTGTATCACAGATGGGAAGTCATTCTACAAGACCGGTCCCTCCATGGAGAAAGTCCACCTTTGTGTCACTAACAGATTATATTCCAAAGGGTTATAGATGTCAGGTAGGTTAATGTAATTGAACACTCTTTTACGCAACCTTGTCCCAAGTTGTTTAGGGCTTTGTATGTTAATACCACACTTTGAATCTGGCTTTGTAGCAGAAAGGCAACCAGTGCATAACTTTTAGTGCAGGTATAATGATGCACATATAACACCTATATTTTAGTTGCTGCATTCTGTATTAGTTGTAGCTTCTGAACAAGTTCAAAAAGCAACCCCACATGGAGCATGTTATAGTACTGTAATCCACTCTTGAGGTTTCCGATACATGAATCATGTTTCCAGGAATAGGCATTGCTTGTCTACCAGCCTGGAGAGGTTCTAAGGAGTACTGAATTTGAATTGGATGTGCAACTTGGAACATAGTTTAAAGAATTCATTGCAGTAAAATCTCAGAAAAGAAGTAGTCAGTAGGCCAAGACAGCCCGGACTTAGCCTCATGCTAAGTTGTTTTCACAGTTCCCTAGATCGACAGTAACTGTCAGCCTTCTATGCTGCTCACTCACACTCAGTGGCTACAGTTATGGGCTGTAACAGGTGTTGTTGGTCTCACAACAAATCTTTCACCACTGATGTTCTAGCCATTCTCCAATCTGCTTCAGTGCTCAGCATTCCTGCGTAGGCATCTGCACCTAGCCGCAATGACACCAAAATGATGTCATAACACAAACTCTGTCCTTTTTTACTTACATCACAATATCATATAGAAATATATAAGGGCAGAGGTTGAGTTGCAGTGCATTCATTCCCATGGACACCCACATCAAAAAAGGCAAGATGACAATAATGTCTGCATAATCAAAGCCCCACCCTTTTTGTATACATGTCAACATTGCATGCAGGTGCAAAGAGATAGACTTCTATCATGTAGTCACAACAACCATCTTGGCTTTTTTTACCCCCAAGATGACCCTGATCATGACTTCATTGCACAAATGACACAATATGTTGTACAAAAATATAAGACAGTGCTATTAAAAGGTAAGCCCAGCACCATTACAGTTAAGTAAACTATTCATGCAGATGTGAAGGAGAAAGAACTGGGTCATGTACAAAACAAGAACAAAGAAAAGATAAATCAGTGAGTCAATAGACTGTTTGCTGAGGCACAGGCATCTGATCCTGTGGCAGAGATCCAGCAATCACTGTTAAAGAAGCTTCTGATATAGAAATCTTTTTCTTTACTTGTTGGTATAATTTAATCGGGTAAAGGAATAAATTTTTCCACAATATTGTGCCATTTGCAAGATGACATCATGAGGCAAATGACATCATTGTGTGATGAATGTATGGAAGCCCCTGAGTCTGTCCTTTGTACGCCTTGTTTATCGTTTAATGCCTTTGCTCAATGCAGAAAAGCTTGAACGCTGCCTTCTGTTCTCCTGCCATGGCCTGTAGATATAAATAAAGATGGCAATGAAAGCATTCCTTCCAAATCAGGAAAGTTCTTTTTCACTCTTAACAAGGAACATGACTAAGTTAAGTGCTCACTTTGCTGCCACCAATTTTACCAAAGGTTGCCTATATAGAAAGTTGTTTGCCTAGATTTAGCCTCTGGCATATATCCAAGTAGGATTGCAAGAAAATACCTATCTAGAAGTATGGACAACAGAAGATGACAGTGTGCCTGCTGACACAGTCCTTGGAGCTCACCAAGAACTTTGCCCCACTTTTTAAAAATATTCTTTTATTTAAAAGATGAATAGGAAGCTATCATGTTGAAACAAAGCACCAGCTTGTATTTCCAACAATGCTTTTGTGCCCCAAAGAGATCCCAGAAACATTCTTAGGAACCACAAATGGGGGGGAGTGCCTGCAGCCTAGTGCTTAGTTTGTTGTCATGTAAATGAGTCCTGATGGTGGGTCCTGGCAGTGGTGAGTTCATCTTTGAAGGAGGGGGTTGTCCCTGTGCCCCTTAAAAAGGCAGAAGTTCGCACCCTCCTCAAGACATTGCTGGAACCCACCATAAGGACAACTTTTTAGGGAAGGTGGTCACACAACAGCTCCAGAGGATCCTGAATGAAAAAGATCTGGACCCCTTTCAGTCTGAATTCAGGCCTAGATATGGGACAAAAACAACATTGGTCGCACTTTTGGATGATCTCTGGTGGGAGTGGGATGGGAGTAGTGCATCCATCCTTGCTCTACTTGACCTCTCAGAGGCTTTCAATACTATCAGCCATGGGACCCTTCTGGACTGGCTTCAGGGGCTCGGGGGGTTGGTGGCATTGTATTATGCTGGTTTTCTTCCTTTCTCCAAGGCCAGTTCCAGTTGGTGTTGAGTGGGGGCGAGAAGTCCCGCTCACAGCCCCTTCTGTGTGGGGTGCCGCAGGGCTCGATATTTTCTCTGCCCTATTAAATATCTCCATGAATCCACTGGGTGAGATCATCCATTGCCATGGGGTGAGGTATGATCAGTATGCTGATGATACCCAGCTATATACCTCTGCTCCTGGGGAGTTACGTGATGCTGATGTTTCTCACTGAACCCTGGCAAGATGGAGTGTCTTTGGGTTTTTGGGACTTCTGTATCTGGGGGTTTACCACCTTTGGTGCTGGATGGGGTTGCACTGCCCCAAACAGACCCAGTGCACAACTTGGGGGTTCTTCTGGACTCATGACTCCTGTTCAAAGAGCGGGTGGCAGTCATGGCCAGGAGGGCTTTTGCACAGTGTCATGTTGTGCATCAGTTGTGCCCATTCCTGGATTAGGAGGCTCTGCTCTCAGTAACTCGTGCTTTAGTCACCTCCCGAATGGACTACTGCAATGTGGTCTACATGGGGCTACCCTTGAAGAGTATCCAGAAGCTTCAGCTGGTACAGAATGCAGCAGCGTGGGCAGTTATGTGTGCTCCAAGATCTATATACATTACACCTCTGCTATGTGAGGTGCATTGGTTGCCAGTTTGCTTCCAGGTCCAATTCAAGGTGTTGGTTATAACCTTTAAAACCCTACATGGCATGGGACCTGGATATTTGAGGGACTGCCTCTCCCTCAATCTACCCATCCCATCAGATCCAGCAGGAGGGGCATGTTGTGGGTCCCATTGGCCAGGGACTGTCTTTGGGCAGGACCTAGGAGGAGAGCCTTTTCTGCCCTGCAGAACATCATTCCCCCCGAGGGGAGGTTGGCCCCAACATTGTTAGCCTTGTGGAAGGCCCTTAAAACATGTCTTTGTCAACTAGCTTGAGGATACCATGGCAGGGTGGCGTCTGTTATATAGTTAAATGACAGCTAATGGAATGCACTCTCTGTTTTTCTGCCATTTTGCTTTTTTTTTTTTAATCTTGCTTTATTTTAATTTAAGGGGACGCGGTGGCACAGCGGCTTAATGACACTGAAAGTTGCTGGCCAGAAATGGTCAACACTTCAGCGGTTCGAGCCCAGCTCCACGCAGTAGAGTGAGCTTCTGCTTCCCCCCCAGCTCCTGTCAACCCAGCAGCTCAAAAACTAACATGAGTAGATAAATGGGTACTCTCACTCCGGTGGGAGGAAAAATGCTGGTGGTGCCTTGCAAAGGAGTTGGGAGCAGTTGCCGGTAACGCGGAAGCCGCGCATGTCCGAAAAAGGCGCCAAGTAACAGAAACCCTGCCTCCTGCGCTCGCCAGCTGGGCTCTGCTCTAGGAAGGAGGCTCTGGCAAACCACTTCCAAAACATGTTGCCTTGAAAACTGCAGGGACTCGTCCAGGCAATCACTACAGAATCGGTAACAATTGAGTGTGGATAAAAAAAATAAAATTATTTTAATTTAAATTGGTTGTTTTAATGGTTTTATACATTCTTGTTTATTTTAATGTACGCTGCCCAGAGTCACTAAATGAGATGGGTGGCTATACAAATTTGATTAAATAAATAAATAAATAAATAAATAAGGCATTTTGTGATTAGCCACACACTCCATGGCAACTAGTTTTTGATGCTCTCAAAACTACAAATGTGCCTAGACTTAAAAAGATTGGGAAATCTTCGCTCCGCCTAATGTGTAAATCATATGTCTGTATATCTACATATCTATAAATATAGATATATAGATATATCTCCACTGTGTATCTTTCATATTCCACCAGGGGGCCTTGCAACACAATTAATATTTATGCTTCCAAAGTCTTTGCTGCAACACCTCAAAAATCATTTGATCATCAATTTGAGCAAACTACTTTTTGAAAAATATGGTGCATATTAAACCCACACGGAGACCAGATAGTCTTTTCCTTAAAGTTCTAAAATAGGCATACTTATGAAAATAACGACTTAATCTAGCTTTCATTACATTTGATTTTATTTAATAAATACATGTATATTCCAGGTAGTGGGATATGCGATGGTGGCTGAACTAATGTCTCTGGCAGGTGATTGTCAGGAGAGTTCAGTCCTGTATTAAGACAGGACCAGTATGCGTATCTCTATATGTCTCAGTCTGAACAAGAACAGAATCACCAAATGTGGGATAGGGATTTTCAGGAACTACTGCTCAAGATAGGGGATCCTAAAGTTCTTCAATAGGATAGGGCTTGGTAGGCCAGATGGGGAGGTTCTAAAAGCAAGAAATACTCAAGAGATGATATCCTTTTTTCTGCATCTTTGTATAAAAAACCTGGTTAAAGACTGGTTAACAGGCATGTTCATGCCACCATCTTGCCCTCCCCATCTGAGGTCTAGAAACTGGATTGAGTAACCTGCAAGAAAACACAGTTGTTTTCTGGGCCTTCCATACGGTGTCCATGACAGATCTCAACAACATAGTAAACTGTAAATCTTATTTTAAAATCTGCATATACTGGGGAGGGGGAGGGAGGAGGGAAGGGCATCATGCAGAGGGAGGGAAGGGCATCATGCAGACCCAGTTTAACAGAGCTTTATAGCTGTACCTGTTATGCCACAATAGACTAAGGTCTCCTTTCCAGCTGTTACCTAATATAGAGAGGAAAACCTAGGATGGTATTTAATAAATATTTGTAAATATTCATCTGCAGGACAAATAGCAGCATTGGAGGCTGGTTTTAAAAGTCACAATTCCAATTTAACATTTTGCTTGATTTTTCTGCATTCAGAGCAGTCTTTGACATGTGAGTTGTCAGTCCAAATTCCCTTAGTAATAAAGCTCTTTGCAAATACAATCATCTCTTGCACCCCAGTCATTATCTTAACTAATCTGCCCTGAATGCTGTGATCCCCTACTCTTATCTTTCCACTCATACAGTCCAGGATAGCTCTGCCTGTGAACTTCAGGTCTCCAGATATATTACTGTCCAAATTTTTAAATTGCAGGCAAGCTAGTTCCTTAGAGCTAAATACTAACAATTGTTCATGGCTTCAGAATCCTCCAAAAGTGGTTTGGCATGACCACCAAATTGGTCAGAATCTTATTTGAATTCTTGACTAATTAACATTTCAATAAAGAGAATATATGTAGCTCAGTGTTGAACTGCGGAGTCCTTGGTTGTTTGCTTGCAGACATTTCATTACAGTGGTACCTCTACTTACGAACGGCCCTACATATGCAAATTTTGAGATACGACCAGCTCCGGCCCCAAAAATTTACCTCTACTTACGAACTTGCCTCGACTTACAAACCA